GGTTGATGTTTTGAATGTTGTTTGGGAGTTCTTTGATAAGGGTAAGATGCTCAATGCTTCCAATTGTACCTTGGTCACCCTCATTCCGAAAAATAATTCTGCTAGTATGGTAAAGGATTACATGCCCATCTCGTGTTGCACAATGCTCAACAAAATTATATCTAAAGTGTTATTAGCCATATTAAACAAAGTGCTCAGCGGTATCATCAATGTTAGCCAAGCTGCTTTTGTTCCTGGCCAGCACATCCATGATCATATTTTTCTCGCATATGAACTCTTAAAAGGCTACAGCTCTAAAGGAGACACCCCTAGATGTATGATCCAAATGGATCTTCAGAAGGCCTTTGACACTGTTGATTGGGGTGCTTTGGAGGACATTTTGAGAGAGATGAGTTTTCCTTCCAAGTTCATTATGTGGATTATGGTGTCTATCTCTACTGTTACATACATGTATAATGTGAACAATAATATTTCTGATCTTTTGGTTTCCAAGCGTGGATTGTGGCAAGGGGATCCCCTGACTCTTCTCTTGTTTGTGATTGTCATGGAGTACCTGCACAGGGTCATGGCCAATTTAAAAAACTGCCCTGAATTTAAGTTTCATTCTAGATGTAAAGTGTTGGGCATAGTTGAAATCTGCTTTGCAGATGACCTGTTACTTTTATCTAGAGGTGATGGTAACTCTGTAAAGGCCTTGTTAGCAACATTTGATAGATTCTCCCATTCTACTGGTCTTGTTGTGAACCCTGCAAAGTGCAACGCATTTTACAGAAATATGGATGATGCTGTTAAACATGAAATTTTCCAGATTACCTCCTTTGCTGAAGGCTCTTTACCGTTCAGATATCTGGGTATCCCCCTCACAAGTAAGAAGCTGTCCAACCACCACTGTTTAATTTTGGTTGAAAAAATTATTAGTCGGGTTAGGCATTGGAGTACGAAGCTGCTTAGTTTTGCTGGTCGTGCTCAGTTGATTAAAAGTGTCCTTTTCGCTATCACGAATTTCTGGATGAACTGTATGCCTATTTCGAAGTTGGTTCTTAAAAAACTGAATGTTATTTTGAGAACGTTTCTTTGGACAGGGAAATAATGCGTTTCGAGGAAATCTCGGATTGCTTGGGATAAAGTATGCAAGCCTAAGAACCGTGGGGGTCTTAACTTCATTAACCTCTTGCTATGGAATCATGTCAGTATGTGTAGGTTGCTTTGGAACCTCTGTGGTAAAGCAAATAGCCTTTGGATTAGGTGGGTCCACATTTAGTATGTGAAGGGATCTTCTCTAATGACAGTAAGTATCAAGCCTAGCTGTTCCTGGATCCTGCGGGCTGTTTTGAACTGCAGAAGCCTAGTTTCTCATTCTCAGGCTTGGGTAAAGATGTTGCAGCGAGACAGGTTTCTAGCTAGGGAGTTATACTCTGATTTTTGTAGTAGTGACCAGAAGGTTGTGTGGAGGAACTTGTTCGCTGGAAACTTTGCTAGTCCTCGTGCTGTACATTGTACTTGGAGATCCTGTCACAACAGCTTGCCTACAAAAGAGAGGTTGACTAGATTTGGCATGCTTAATAGTATTCACTATTGCTTTTGCAGGGAACCAGAATCTCTCAAACACCTATTCTTTGAGTGCCATGTTATGAGCGACATTTGGAGTGAGGTCCTTAAGTGGTTACAGTTTGTTCATAGTCCAAATGGTTAGCGCGAAGAACTCAATTAGATCCTTGGGCAATGTAAAAGGAAAGGCTGGAAATTATCCTTGCTGAAATGTGCATTTTTTGAAACTCTTTACGCAACCTGGAATCCAAGGAACTCATTTTGTTTTGATGAGAAAGCTGGTACCAGGAAGTGGAATGTTAGCAATGATGTAGTAAATTGCATTGTGTATAGATGTTGGGTTCATCCTAAGCTGAGACAACACATTGGAAAGCTTTTGCTTCCTTAGGTTGTAGGATGTTTTGTTGATTTTGGTTTTGTGTTGCTTGCTAGATCGTTTAGATCGCTTGTATTGTATTGCTTTTTGAATCTTGATTAAAAGTTATCCTTTTGATTAAAAAAATGATATATGGGATAAGTCCTAATCATAACTATGTCAATGTCAACCTTTTCACTTTCAACCATACACATATGATATATACATAATTTTATTGTAAAGATTATGTTTTATTTTTAATAATCAAAATCTATAATTATTTCACTGGTCACTATCGCCACAAATCATTTTTTATTTTAGCCAACAAAATATTTTTAAGTTTTTCTTATTAAACATATTGAATTTATCATGTTGGTGATTTACTACATATATATTGTTAAGTATTTGCGGTCTATATAATTTTATAATAAAAATTATATATTAGCAACAAAACAATTTCTCTTGTCTAGGAATTACATGAGAGAGAGAGAGATGATATGAGTAAATCATTTAATATTCAATGCTCATTGCTAAGGTTGTAGCTTGTGCAACTAGATCAAGTGGTATACTCACTCACTCGTGTCTACGTGTATTCTATTATATACACTTTATTTTTTGTTTTTACTCAAGTAATTGTTACACTTTATTAAAATTCAATTTTTTTTAATTCTTTAGTAATGTATTGGTTTTTATTAAAAAACTGCAATCCTGCTATTGAATTGCCTATTAAAATTCTCAGTTATCTCTACATGTCTTTTATTTGCTTACACTTTGTTTCCTTTTTTATGCAAGTACTCTCACAACCTATTATCACAACCTCCTCTAATTTTTATTTAATAGTATCATGTTTTCACATAATTAATTCTTTTTCTGATATGATGCATGTTGTACTAGGACTATCCCGCACATTTCTACATGCTAGTCTTCTACTTTATATATTAAAAAAAATACTAAAATAAAGTAAATAGATAATATTTAGCATAGACACAAGCCACATAGGCTAGGAGAGTGGAATGTAAATGGCAGTGAGATTTTTTTATCTCATAATAAATAAGGATTATTAAATAATTAACTATATTAATTTATCAAACACAACAAGTTTATAATTGAATAAAAAATTGATTATATAACTTTGTATAAACTTAATGTATTATAAATCACCATAAATACTATAAATCCTAATTTAATATCATCATCAAATATTTTAATATATATTATGAAAGTAATATATTTTAATAAATTCAAACTTTGATTACATTTTTTAGTTATTTGAGAATATGGTTAATAAAATATATCATGTCTTTTGTCAAAATTATTTGAAGTACTTTAAATATATTCTAAAAACCTAGCACTTTTACAAAATACATGATATATTTTAGTAACCATATTCTCAAATAACTAAAAATATCAATCAAACTTTGAATTTATTAGAATATATTACTTTCCTATTATATATTAAAATATATGATGAAGATATTGAATTAGGTGTTATAGTGTTTATGGTGATTTATAATACATAAAGCTTATACAAAGTTATATAATCAATATTTATTATGCGATACAAAAATCTCACTGCCATTTACATTCAACTCTCGTAGTCTATGTGGCTTGTGTCTAAACTAATTATTATCTATTTACTCAAATTTTATTTGAGTATATTTTTAATATATAAAGTAGAAGAATAGCATGTAGAAATGTGCGAGATAGTCCTGGTACAACATGCATCATATCAGAAAAAGAATTAACTATGTCAAAATATGGTAGTATTAAATAAAAATTAGAGTAGGTTGTGAGATTTTAGAGAATAAATCTAGCGATGCGTAGAATTTTGAATCAAACAAGTCTCAAGAACTTTGTCCCTACACTTGCTTCCACATGGAAAAAATACTAAGTTTCTGTATCAACAAAATGGAAGAAACCCTTTTTGATTCTCTTGTCGATCAGGCGACACCCGGATTTGAACTGGGGAAAAAGGATTTGCAGTCCCCCGCCTTACCACTCGGCCATGCCGCCAAAATGATACAAAAAAAAATAGATCAGAATATTCTCCTCTCAAAAAAACCAACGTATACCTTTTCAGTAAAAAAAAAGTAAAAATTTCGGGACAAATAGCAACTGTTAACTACAAATTTCGGAAGAATTCAGGAATCTGAATTTCTTAATGAGAAAAAAATCGAAATTGATACATAACAAATCAATATTATTATTATATATATATATATATATATATATATATATATATATATATATATATATATATATATATATATATATATATATATATATATATATATATATATATATATATATATATATATATATATATATATATATATTATAATTCTTATCTATTTCCATTATAACAGGAACTGTTAATATATGTCAACCCCATAATATCACTTTTCATTGTTACACATTATATAATTGGGTATTTTCTATGTAATTATGGATTACAGGGAATTTTCAATAAATTCTCGTACTTTCATTTTTTTTTGCAAATTTTTCATGAAATAGATTGATGAATGAATAGAAAAAAAATGAACACAACATATTCTGTCCCGAACAAATAGGACTGCAATAACGTAATAGACATATATAGATAGCTATAGATGAAGTTAGATCTATGCATGTTTCATAAATCCAAGTCTTTTTATACACTAAAATCCTCTCATTCTAAAAAAAAGGGTCAAAATATCTCTCTTGTTTGTTAATTTTCATTCTTTTTTGAACATTTGAAATGGTAAAGGACTCAAAAAAATTGTATATTTTTTCTAATTATTTTCTTTTTAAAATCTTTCTCTCATGGAGCCAATCAAATCCTGAATTGATTTTTGGGGTATCAATCAAATTGGAATATGTAATATCATACTCTACTAAAAGTCTATTTGTTTATTTTGTTGCAAATTCTAATTTGAGTAGCAAAATTCCTCTTTTCATAATGCGTATTTCATAGACTTACTGAGGTAAAATTTCATGTGATTCAGTAAAGTAAAAAGAACATAAATTCTATTATTACTAAATATATTCATGTGATTCGATGAAGAATGACAACAAATCATGGGATATTTTCTATAAAATAAAAAAGGGGTAATAAAAAATGCTTGGGGTTGGGAATGAAGGAATGTCTACACTACCGGGATTGAATCAAATACAATTTGAAGGGTTTTGTAGATTCATTGATCGGGGTTTAACAGAAGAACTTTTGAAGTTTCCAAAAATTGAAGATACAGATCAAGAAATTGAATTTCAGTTATTTGCGGAAACATATCAGTTGGTAGAACCCTCAATAAAAGAAAAAGATGATGTATATGAATCACTTACATATTCCTCTGAATTATATATATATATATATATATATATATCCGCGGGAGTAATTTGGAAAAAAAGTCAGGATATCCAAGAACAAATTATTTTTATTGGAAACATTCCTCTAATGAATTCCCCGGGAACTTTTATAGTAAATGGAATATACAGAATTGTAATCAATCAAATATTGCAAAGCCCCGATATCTATTATCGGTCAGAATTGGACCATAACGGAATTTCAGTCTATACTGGCACAATAATATCAGATTGGGGAGGAAGATTAGAGTTAGAAATTGATAGAAAAGCAAGGATATGGGCTCGTGTAAGTAGGAAACAGAAAATATCTATTCTAGTTCTATCATCAGCTATGGGTTCGAATTTAAGTGAAACTCTTGAGAACGTTTGTTACCCCGAAATTTTCTTGTCTTTCCTCAATGAAAAGGAGGGGAAAAAATAAGGTCAAAAGAAAATGCCATTTTGGAGTTTTATCGACAATTTTCTTGTGTAGGAGGAGATCCCATATTTCTTTAATCTTTGTGTACGGAATTAAAAAAAAATTTTCAACAAAGATGTGAATTAGGAGGAATTGGGCGGCGAAATATGAACCGAAGGCTGAATATTGATATACCCGAGAACAATACATTTTTGTTACCGCGAGATATATTGACAGTTGCGGATCATTTGATTGGAATGAAATTTGGAATGGGTACACTTGACGATATGAATCATTTGAAAAATAAACGTATTCATTCCGTAGCAGATCTCTTACAAGGTTGTGCAAGGTTGTGAGAGTACATGCATAAAAAAGGAAACAAATGGTAAGCAAATAAAAGACATGTAGAGACAATTGAGAATTTTAATAGGAAATTCAACAGAAGTATTGCAGTTTTTTAATAAAAACCAATAAATTACCAAACAATAAATAAAATTAAAACTTTAATAAAGTGTAACAAGTATTTGAGTAAAAACAAAAATAAAGTGCATATAATAGAATAAATGTAGAGACAAGTGAGTGAGTATACCACTTGATCTAGCTACACAAGCTACAACCTTAACAATAAGAATTGAACATTAATTGATTTTCTCATATCATCTCTCTCTGTCTCATGTAATTGCAAGACAAGAGAAACTTTTTTGTTGCTAATATACAATTGTTATTATAAAATTATTTAAAACTGCAAATATTTAAAAATATACTTGTAGCAAATCACTAATATGATTAATTCAATATGTTTAATAACAAACAGTTACAAATATTTTGTTGTCTAAAATAAAATAATAATAGACATTGACATAGTAATGGTTAGGACTTATCCTAGATATCAATGATATTGAAAAACATTAGTGTGATATAATAATAAATATTGAATTTATGTTTAAATTACAACAAAAAATGAGTGTCATATAATAACAAATATTGAGTTGATGTTGAAATTACAACTCTTAAATAAAAATATTAGTTAATTAAAATATAATAGATATTATACTATTATTAAATAGAAATTTAATTCTTTGTATGATTAATGAATATTTTTTAATTTAATTAAATAAATTTTCAATTTTATTAAAATTACTTATTGAAAATCACTAGTATCTCAATTGACAACAAACAAATAGAATTTATTAAATAAGTTAAAAACAAAAAACATTTAAACCCACATTTATATAATTGTAAACATGAAAATATGATATTAAATATGATTGTCACAATAAAATTTAATTAAAAAATTTAAAGGATAATATCAATTTTCTAATTATTAATAAATACGTATTTATCAATCTATAATTTACCAACAAAAATTCAAATCATTTAAATAATTTTTTTACACCATCTCTATACGATCATATTTTTAATAACAAATTTAATATGTCTTAAAAATAGTTAGTTGACATTATAAAGAAGTCCATATTTAAAAAAATATAGTAACAAAACTAAAATTGTTGATATTATTTGATAAAAAAATTAATAGATAAGTTTTAGATTAATGCTAAATTATATATATATATATATATATATATATATATATATATATATATATATATATATATATATATATATATATATATATATATATATATATATATATATATATATATATATATATATATATATATATATATATATATATATATATATATATATATATATATATATATATATATATATATATATATATATATATATATATATATATATATATATATAAAAGCATTCATTCAAATTCAGTGCTAGGTTTTTAGAATATATTTAAAGTACTCCAAATTTTTTTGACAAAATACATGATATATTTTAGTAACCATATTCTCAAATAATTAAAAAATGCAATAAAATTTTGAATTTATTAGAATATATTACTTTCATATTATATATTAAAATATTTGATGATGATATTGAATTAGGCGTTATAGTATTTATGGTGATTTATAATACATGAAGTTTATACAAAGTTATATAATCAATATTTTATTCAATTATAAACCTGTTGTGTTTGATAAATTAATAAAATTAATTATTTATTAATGAATATTTATTATGAGATAAAAAAAACTCACTATCATTTACATTCAACTCTCGTAGCCTATGTGATTTGTGCCTAAACTAAATATTATCTATTTACTCAAATTTTTATTTTAGTATTTTTTTAAAATATAAAGTAGAAGACTAACATGTAGAAATGTGTGAGATAGTCCTAGTACAACATGTATCATATTAAAAAAAGAATTAACTATGGGAAAATATGATATTATTAAATAAAAATTAGAGAAGGTTGTGATAATAAATTGTGAGAATACTTGCATAAAAAAGGAAATAAAGTGTAAGTAACTAAAAGACATATAGAGGTAACTGAGAATCTTAATAGACAATTCAATATCAGTATAGCAATTTTTTAATAAATCCAATGCATTAGTAAACAATATAGAAAATTAGAACTTTAATAAAATGTAGCAAGTACTTGAGTAAAAATTAAAATAAAATGTGTTTATAATAGAATACATGTAGAGACGAGTGAGTGAGTACACCACTTGATTTACCCGCATAAGCTACAATCTTAGCAATAAGCATTGATCATTAAATGATTTTCTCATATCATCTCTCTCTCTCTCACACACACAATTCCCAGACAAGAGAAATTTTTTTATTGCTAATATACAATTATTGTTATAAAATTATTTTAAACTTCAAATATTTAAAAATAAATATGTAGTAAATCACCAATATGATAAATTCAATATATTCAATAACAAACATTTATAAATATTTTGTTGACTAAAATAAAAAATGTATTGTGGCGATAGTGACCCGTGAAATAATGATAGATTTTGATTATTAAAAATAAAACATAATGTTTACAATAAAATTATGTATATATCATATGTTTATTGTTGCAAGTGAAATGGTTGACATTGACATAGTAATAGTTAGGACTTATCCCTGATATCAGTGATATTGAAAAACATTAGTGTGATATAATAATAAATATTGAGTTTATATTTAAATTACAACAAAAAATGAGTGTGATATAATAACAAATATCTAGTTGATGTTGAAATTACAACTCTTAAATAAAAATATTTTTTTAATTAATATATAATAGATATTGTACTATTATTAAATATAAATTTAATTCTTTGTATGATTAATGAATTTTTTTTAATTTAATTAAATAAATTTGCAATTTTATTAAAATTAATTATTGAAAATCACTAGTATCTAAATTGACAACAAACAAATAGAATTTATTAAATAAGTTAAAAACAAAAAACATTTAAACCCACATTTATATAAGTATAAACATAAAAATATGATATTAAATATGATTGTTACAATAAAATTTAATTGAAATAATTAAAGGATAATATCATTTTTCTAATTATTAATAAATATGTATCTATCGATCTATAATTTACCAACAAAAATTTAAATCATTCAATTGATTTTTGAACACCATCTCTATACGACCATATTTAAAATAACACATTTAGTATGTCTTAAAAATAGTTAGTTGACATTATAAAAAAGACCATGTTTAAAAAACCATAGTTACAAAACTAAAATTGTTGATATTATTTGATAAAAAATAAATAAATAAGTTTTAGATTAATGCTAAATTAAAAAAAAAACAATGCAAAAGCATTCATTCAAATTTAGTGCTAGGTTTTTAGAATATATTTAAAGTACTTCAAATAATTTTGAAAAAATACATGATATATTTTAGTAATCATATTCTCAAATAATTAAAAAATTCAATCAAACTTTGAATTTATTAGAATATATTACTTACATATTCTATATTAAAATATTTGATGATGATATTGAATTAGGCGTTATAGTGTTTATGGTGATTTATAAATACAAAGTTATATAATCAATATTTTATTCAATTATAAACCTGTTGTATTTAATAAATTAATATAATTAATTATTTATTAATCCATATTTATTATGAGATAAAAAAAACTCACTATCATTTACGTTCAACTCTCATATCCTATGTGACTTGTGTCTAAACTAAATATTATCTATTTATTCAAATTTTTATTTTAGTATTTTTTTAAAATATAAAGTAGAAGACTAGCATGTAGAAATGTGCGAGATATTCCTAATACAACATGCATCATATCAGGAAAAAAATTAACTATGTAAAAACATGATATTATTAAATAAAAATTAGAGAAGGTTGTGATAATAGATTGTGAGAGTACTTGAATAAAAAAAAAGGAAATAAAGTGTAAGCAACTAAAAGACATGTAGAGATAACTGAGAATTTTAATAGGCAATTCAATATCAGTATAGCAATTTTCTAATAAATCCAATACATTACTAAACAATATAGAATATTAGAACTTTAATAAAGTGTAGCAAGTACTTGACTAAAAATGAAAATAAAATGTGTTTATAATACAATACATGTAGAGACGAGTGAGTGAGTACACCACTTGATCTAACTGCACAAGCTACAACCTTAGCAATAAAGATTGACCATGAAATGATTTTATCATATCATCTATCCCTCTCTCTCATATAATTCCCAAACAAGAGAAAAAATTTTGTTGCTAATATACAATTGTTATTATAAAATTATTTAAAACTTCAAATATTTAAAAATAAATATGTAGTAAATCACCAACATGATAAATTCAATATATTCAATAACAAACACTTATAAATATTTTGTTGACTAAAATAAAAAATGTATTGTCCCGATAGTCACCCGTGAAATAATGATGGATTTTGATTATTATAAATAAAACATAATGTTTACAATAAAATGGTTGACATTGACATAGTAATGGTTAGGACTTATCCTAGATATTAGTGATATTGAAAAACATTAGTGTGATATAATAATAAATATTAAGTTTATGTTTAAATTACAACAAAAAATGAGTGTGATAAAATAACAAATATTGAGTTGATGTTGAAATTACAATTCTTAAATAGAAGTCTTTGTTAAT